GCTTTGTACCATTATAGCAAGTCTAAGTAATGAGCAACTAGATGTTGTACGGTATAAGACATCATTAGTTAATAAACCTCTTATTTTGTTAAGTTTCCTTATACGGTCAATCCATTAGTATGTCCCATGTTATTTTATAAACAAGTTTTCCTTATTTTATAGTTTGATCATTTACTTATATAATGTATTTTTAGATTTCTTTATTTTAAGGCATGAACACATATTCTCACAAATTAACATCTATTTCCATAATGGTAGAATAACGTTAATAAATGAATATTTTGTCCATATACGAACATTCAGCTCATAAGTGAACAAAAATTCCTATACGAACATATAATTCATAAGTGAACAAATGTTCATATACGATCGTACATTTATAGAAGATGTTATACAAACTTTTTCAAAATGATATACATCCATAATTGAACAAATGTTCCTCTGCGAACATATATTTCATAAGTGAAGAAATGTTCCTATACGAACATACAATTCACAAGTGAAAAAATGTTCCTATATGAAGATACATTCATGGAAGATGTTAAAAACCAAAAAAGGTAGTAATACATACATATGTTAAATACCGAACATAATTTAAAAACCAAACATAACTTGCAAAACATTTTGTTCCACCTACAAACATCTTATTCAGAAAAAAGGTAGTAATTCTAAACTTAATGAAAAATCATTGAAATGAAATTATATATTTTCTTTTTCTTATGCCAACATCTCATCTTCTATCCTCGTTGGACACTTTTTGTAATCATGAGGTGCATAATGCTTGTAACACGGACATTCCCTATGATTCTTTTTCGCTTTCTCAACTGCCATCCCTTTTGATCCTTTGATCCTTTGCGAGATCTAGAACCCTTTGTACATATATGTTTTAGATTATGTATCATAACTACATCGGGTTTCGCAACACCAATAAGAATTTTCGTTCGTTCGTTGTTGTTTTTTTGCTGCTTTGTTTTGTTGTTTGTTGGTTTGCTTCTGGATTATCTTTAATTTCCTTAAGATGCTCATTCAACATGATTATTGTATTTGTATCATTTAATGCAAATTCAATACACAATGTATATATACTATTCACATCTTCTACCATTTTACTACATGGACCATTATTATATCCATATCTATATGTTTCTACAATTGTTGAGGTGATATAAATCCTTTCTCCCAATGTCTTAAAATGTATTTCTCTAGAATTTTGTCAATATTTTTAAGCTTCAAAATACAAAATATGTGCTGGAAAAACACACCTTGATGCAAGTAGAAATTACAGGAACATGTTATCGTTTCCTCCTTCTTGTTGAAATTAACTTACAAAAAAATGGTAACAAGCTTCATGCAAGTAAATCACAACAAGTAGGTGTTCCTATTTTTTTAACATGTTACAGATTCATAAATCAACGAACATAATATAATTAATTACCATGTATTATGATGTAACATCTACAGTGGTTTCTAAATTAAAACCATCTTCATGTGAATAACCGAAACCTTTGTAATCTTTCCTAAACGAATTGTTTTGTTTATCTTTCACTTTAAACATCTCATCTTACCTTCTTCAACCACAACCAAACAAGGAACATGAAATGAAGCTAGATCACATATTCTAAGTCTATATAACTTTAATTATATATAACTAGTCCAATGATATGAACAAAAATAGACAAAATCAATAGTTTCTTTTGCATAATTCCAAACATGTCAAATGTGTAGACTTTACCTACATGTTCCTCTATCGATTAACGAGTTTGTAACACATGATTGGTTGATTCTGAGTTATAGTCATTTAGAAACAATGTATGTCTTTGTGCTTCCATCACATTCTCAAACAAAAATCTGAAACCAAGAAGATTCAAATGATTGTTCAGGTATCCACAAAAAAAAATGAATTTTCACTTTCTGATCTCGAAATCGTCCGCATAAGTCCCGCTAATGGTATATCTTTGAAATATGATTGTATCCATCTATCCCTTATCGAAAACATATCTGTTAAACATTTGTTTTTGTTAAGTTTAATATCATTCATGAATCCTCACCACATACTATCAAACTGTTCACGATCTACTTTATTATTCCAAATTAGAGATAGACTTCGCGGCCTGAAATCAATAGGAAAAACAGGTAGACATGCTTATAAGTAAGACACACATTTTATACATTAGAATCTTAAAAATTTAAATATATTTGTTAATGTAAAAATAATAGTAAAAAACTATGTATTACTTTCAAATACCTTGTCAACCATTTCATTATTAATTAAGATGACCCCAAATGTAACCAAACGTATGTGATTATCTATTCATGAGAATGGTATAAATATCATGTTGTACCAGATATACATATGATATAGGCTGTTAAAAACTGATTATCTCAGGTATGCACTAATGTTAATACATGCACTTACTTTCATATATGAATATATTTTCTTATATGAACATATTCACATAAGAACATTTGTTCGTTTCTATAAAGATATATAACTGTTAGAAGTATAAATTAGACTTTTATGCTCTAAAACTTACATATCGGTCGTATAGTTGCATCGAACGTAACCATGTCCCCAAATACTTTATAATTTGCTTTAGCTGTTTTATTAGCCCAAAATAACCCAATTAACTCATCATCATCAAAAACTCGATAATCAAATGAAAAGTTGTGTGCAGTTTCTCTCCTCAGTTTCATTCTATTTATAGGCATTTCTGCATCACTAACACCAATATTTGGCCTCGTATCCCTAGCATAGTTTTTAAAATCAATTATGTTCCACGAATATTATCATATCATCCCTTTATGGTCTTTATCAATGAATAAGCTTTTGTAGGACGAATGTTATGTGTACTTACATCATGAATGAACTTTTCATCCATATAGTCTGATTTGCACTTATTATTTGATAGGTACGTACTTTAACTAAGCATTTTGTGATTATGTTTGTTCTCAAACTCGTACAAAACATACTTATTGGTGGCTTTATCAAACCTGAACCTTACAGCTGTAGGACATTCCGTTTTTTGTTCTTGATTTTCTTTTTTCTTACCAACATTAAGTACATCATGTTCGATATCTTGTCCTTTACCTGATTTGATGCAAGTCATAATCCTGTGAGTAACAAATCCACATTTTGGTCTCCTTTTAAGCGATTCGTTTCGCACATCAAAACCTCATTCTTCAACAAATTTTTATATTTATTTTTGCAATCTAATACAATATTGAATAATTGTCCTTGTTCAATCTTTACATCAACTTGACTCCTGCTAAATAATCCATGTTAACACATGTATACTCCATTAACAGCAGGTAGTTTGTAGTTTAAAAAACATAATTTATCATAATTATTCTTTATTAAACATATATTATAATAAACAAACAAGGATTATAATTCAAAAATGAATTTAGTGTTATGATTAACCGAACTGAAATCATGAATTAAAAGTTTCTTTTTCTTTGTTAAGTTGGTGTTTTTTTAAAGTTCATTCCTAAATGTATATGTTCATTCGTGAATAAATTAAGGGTTCATGTTCATTCGTGAAATACAATGCATTGTTTTTTTGTTCGTTCGTACATTTTCAAACACAACTAAAACTAAGTAATAATTATATACAAAGAGTTAGAGGAATATACAAAAGGGTTATGATCGTGCCTATAAAACTAATTGAATGTTCATGAATGAACATTCAATCAAATTTTCATATGTATATACTAAGTAGATGTTCAGACGTGTTAAGCTATGAAATCGACAAGAACATGAATTAAAGTATAAAACTAAGTCATGAAATTGATAAGAACCTGGTACATCGCTAACTGATGTTGATGAATACGTGGATATTCTCTCTATTGACGAGCCAATATTGATATCAATTTTAATTTCTTGATTTTCCATTGATGCTCGATGAATGTTTAAATGTTTCTTGATGTTCAAAAGTGAATTATCACTGATTTACTCATAAAATCTTCCAAACTTCAACTAGAATGAACATTGTAAAAATTTTCATGCTTTATTTGATTAATGGTGTCCGTTTCAATATTGTTAGCAAATGTTTTTTTTCCTTACCTTTATTGACAATTCCTATTACCATACTTCTTTCATATGTTTAATGACAATGAACATGTTTTTATTTACAATATTATATAATGGTTCTATGTTTTTTATTGGTTCTAAGTTGATCTATCTCTCTCTCTCTCTATCTCTCTCTCTCTCTCTCTCTCTCTCTATATATATATATATATATATATATATATATATATATTAAATTTATTTTTTATTTTTTATTTTTAATTAATGTTAATTACAACTGTAATTTTTAATTTTTAATTTCATGATAATTAATTATTTAAAAAATAACAATATTTAAAAGAAAATGATAAATGATGCGGCAATTCATTAAAGTGTATAGAGTTTAATTAAGTGTAAAATTGTATATTATATATATATATATATATATATAGATATATATATATATATAGATATATATATATATCTTCACCTTAAATCATATTACATCAAATTTATTTAATATTTTATTTTTAATACTAATTATTCAACTATTAACCTAATATACATAATTTATTAATTTAAGTATATTATCGGTATAAACTATTATCATTTTAATGGTACAACTATTAATTGTCTACTATTAAACATACAGCATAAGTAAAAAAATTATTGAAGATTATCAGATATAAGTATAACCCTTAATATACGTTAAGATGATGTAATTTCAATAAATTTATATTTTATGACAAATAATTTCAATAATTATATCAATTTATTATAAAAGTTATTATATTGGACAACATAGTTTTCAATATTAAAATTATACAATTACTTTTAAATACAAACTTATTTTTCTATCGTTGGTAATAATAATAATAATAATAATAATAATAATAATAATAATAAACATATATAAATAAAGTTTTCTGTCTCTTTTGGTAGCCATTGCGCTTGTTACATTTATTTTAGTGTCATCAACTGGTCCGCCCCAACCATGGCAAAGTTACTGTTCCTCATACTCCCCATCCTTTCCTTTGTCGTACCATACCATGGGTCCGTGGAGTTTTTCCGTCAACCACCACGACCACTTGTCTACACCCTTCACGATGGTCCAAAGGCTCATCCTCAACAGGTCTCCCTTCTCTTCATATGAAATTAAGCTTGTGTTGTGTGTTGTGTCAGAACTGATACCGATAATGATTTCATCTGAAATTCAATGACGAAATCTCTCATATCTTGTACCTCTTTAGAATCTTGTGTATATGAAATGGGCTAAGTTGTATTCCTTATATTTCTTAGCGCAAACATTGGTTTAATTTAATGGTAACCGTATCACTTTTAGGTGCATGTGTCATTGGTCGGAAAGAATTTCATGAAGGTTTCATGGGTAACCGAAGAAACTGATGTGCCCTCTAGAGTCGACTATGGAAAAGTTCAGTCGAAGTATGACTCATCAGCCACAGGAGAACATTCTTCCTACAACTATTTCTTCTATACTTCCGGGGAGATCCACCATGTCACAATCGGACCACTAGATCCGGCTACCACCTATTACTATAGGTGTGGTGGCTCCGGACCAGAGTTTAACTTTCGAACACCCCCCGCAACCTTTCCCATCGAGTTTGTAATTGTTGGTACGCCGGATTCACATCTTTATAGAATGCAACATATTTTATTTGTACTAATAATTTTATAAAAAACCACATGTGAACTCAGGTGACCTTGGACAAACGGAATGGACAAGCTCAACGCTGGACCATATTAATGCAAGCAACTACGACGTTTTGCTCCTCCCTGGCGATCTATCTTATGCAGATTCACAACAACCACTTTGGGACTCATTCGGGCGTTTGGTTGAGCCATATGCTAGCCGAAGGCCATGGATGGTTACAGAAGGGAACCATGAACAAGAAATAGTCCCGATCATCTACCCCAATGGGTTCAAAGCCTACAACGCGCGTTGGCCCATGCCACATGAAGAAAGTGGTTCTGAATCAAACCTCTATTACTCATTTGATGTAGTGGGAACTCACATCATTATGTTAGGTTCATACGCGGATTTTAGTGTTGATTCGGATCAATATAAATGGTTAGCAAGTGACCTGGCTAAAATTGATAGATCAAGAACACCATGGGTTATCGTGCTCCTCCATGCGCCATGGTATAACTCCAATCTGGCTCATCAAGGAGAAGGTGAAAGTATGCGGGTAGCAATGGAAGAGATTTTGTATAACTCCAGTGTTGACATGGTTTTTGCCGGCCATGTTCATGCATACGAACGATTTGTAAGCTATAAACCTTCCCATATCCGAAATAAATTTTCATAATGGACTTATCTTGCTAAAGTGCAAAAGCTACGGGAGTTTTTTTTTTTTTTTTTTTTTTTTTTTTTTTTTTTTTTCATGTTTGGGGTTTTTTTCTTACATAGAAACTACCCAAAACATAGAACAAAAATGACCCATCCTATTTTCTATATCTTTTTTATTGGAATTCTAATTTTCGTAGCATATTCGTTGATAAAATTTATTATTTCAGACTAGGGTGTATGACAACAAAGTTGATCCATGTGGTCCAATATACATAACCATTGGCGATGGAGGGAACAGAGAAGGTCTTGCCATGACGTAAGTGTCTAAAACTCTCCTCATTAATGTTTATTTATTCGACCCTTCAGGTCCAGTATACATTAAAATCCGTTGGTTACTTGTGGAACTAAGTCTCTTCTGATGTTTTCATATGCTAATCATGTTACGATGCTCATATATATTAATTAAACTAGATACAAAGAGCCTAGCCCTTCAATATCACTTTATCGAGAGGCAAGCTTTGGACATGGTCGATTGAGAATAATGAATGAAACACATGCTCATTGGTCATGGCACCGCAACAACGACTCAGCATCATTTGCCGCAGATAATGTTTGGTTCAAAGGTTTGAGCTCGGCACCCTCATGTAGCCAAAAGATCCGAGGAAAAAAATTTCAACACGATGAGCTTTGATCTTCTTGTAACCATCATTTTATACTTATGTGGTTTTTCAGATTGCCTATATTTTATGAAATTGATCGACGCTTAGCTAGGAAAAAAATAATATTGTATAACTTTCAGTAACCATCAACAGAATTTGGTATATAAAAGCGTAAATATAGTATTCCGTTGAAATAGGTGGGATTTATACATACGCATCCATCTTATGCTTGAAGATGGGATTGCTTATTTCACCTCTTTATTTGCTTATACAAATTTCCCACATAAGTACATATATTTAGTGTTTGGCTAAATAAAAATTATAAATGTTTATTAGGTCAAATAAAAAGTTTTCAATAAATTGGTTTATCCTTACTTATTTGAAACACCTTATTTGAATAGTACAAAACATAATTACTTATTTACCCTTAATTTACCCTAATATGCCTTGTATCATCGATAACTGCTCTTTTTCACTTTTCCCTATTTTTTCCTTCACCAAGATCGGAGAAATGTTGGTCTCCTACTGTGTTTTTCACAAGGCTCAGGTTGCATCTTTTCATCTTATGCCTTTCTTTTTTTCATTAACATCGTATGGAAGCATAATATTAATATTAAAAAAAAGAGAAGAAGGCATAAGATGATAAGGTGGAAACTCGGATTTATGGAATACAATATTAATCATAGTTTACATATTATATATTGATTCTTGGTCGGTTACTATATTATATTGATTCTTTGTCATGGGTACTCCTTTGATAACACAAGCAACCTTGTATAAAACATTTATTAGTTATAAACTAACCTTCGACGTATTAAGTTTTCATCTCAAAATGTGTGAATTGTTGTTTATCTTTTCCTGTTTGGCATTAACTTAATGTTTAATTTTATTTTGTATTTGGTTATTGTTTGTACAACAAAATATATAAATTTTTGTTTTTCTTTTTCATCTACTTTAAACAAGCAGTTAACTTTTTTTTTTTTCGATTGGGCAATTTATGATTTTATATATTGATAGTATTCTTGGTTACTTCTTTTAATGATGTAAATCACATGTATCTTTTTGTTCGTAAAGAGTATGTAGATGTATTTGTGTGTAGTTACGTGTATGAAAAAACTTGCTCATCGGTCCATTTATAAGGCCATGATAATTATAAATCTCAAAAAATTATTTAATTATATCCAGGTAATGGATGCAAATAATACTATATAATATTATTGCTAGTGATACATCTAGCATATGGGGACTCATTCTTTCGAGTTCCTCAGCGTACCGATCATTCACTACTATGAAACACGTTATAGGACTTGTCAAATAGGACCTGGTTTTTGGAAAAATCGAGATATATTATGAAAGAACATAGATTTATACAGAGAAATGCTATATGACCCGGTTCAACTCACTGAACCGGCGTGTATGTTATACTCAAGTAACACGGTTACCAACATAAAAATTGGGGCTTTTAGATGTATGGGTATGTGACCCAGCCTCTAGAAAATAATTGAGTTCTTTTACTATAAGAGACAGCTATATAACCCATTTTTAAACAATCAGGCTTTTTGACTTCTTTTAGCAAATATAAATGTGGCTTAATTAATGATTGAGCTTAAATATACTAATACCACTCCGTAGTCGGAATGTAAGAGTAGCAAAACTAAGACTAAATTATTAAATTGACATTAAAACTATTGAAAATTCCTCACTCGATAGTCTTGAAACTTGGCACATGTAACATTGAGTATAGAAAAAGTGTGCAACTTGTAACATAAACCATTGACTTATAAGTTTTAATTTCAAGGTCAATCACTTTACTACGGAAAAGAACGCAGGAGTAGCTGATAAGTTTTTTTCATTGCTAAGACTTTAATAATCAACAAACACCAGCAACGGGTAGATGGAAGCAAAGCATACAAATCAAACAAAGTAAACAACGATCTACAAGAAAAACTGAAGAAACTAAAGATCCAAACAACAAAGAACAATAATAAGCAAGAACAAGATCCCCCCCCCCCCCCCATGGTAAAATGGTCTAAATAGTGAAAATCTAGTCCACCAACAACCTTAATAGCAAGACAAGCCAGAACAAAAGGCCAACTTTACAAAAGAAACATAAATCTTCAATCAACAAGCACCACATCTGAAAAAATCCAAGCCGGGGTAAAAAGGTTAAGAAATGGAACAAACAACAACCTATTATCTTGATATTACACAACAACCAGAAGCACAAGCAATGCCGGAGGAAAAAAAGAATGCAAACCAACAACTCTAGAAAACACAAGAGAAACCAATCAAGAAAACACCCCCACAGATTGTCGATTAACACCTACAAGTTGTAAACCTTCCCGTGTATCACTACAAGAAACAAGACCTATAGGGACGACAAATGTCGTCTCTATAGGTTAAAAAGTCGTCGCTATAGGTGGCCGGGACGACATGTCGTCCCTACAGCTCTCGTCCTCATAGCCCCGTTGCAATAGATCTTTTTGGTCGTCGCTATAAATATCGTCGCAATAGGTATCCTTTAGAGACGACATGTCGTCCTGTTTTGGTTTGTCTCTATACGTTGATGGTCTCGATAGATGAAGCTATACAGACGACATGTCGTCTCTATAGGTATATGTATAAACACAACATGTCGTCTCCATAGATAGAGATGTAGTCGACTCCCCTTAGCCTTTAGCAACAATATGTCGTCGTGGTAGATGTACCTGTACAGAGGACATGTCGTCTCTATAGATCCACTGATAAAGACGACATGTCGTCTCTATAGGTATGCCCATACACCTGCTCTTTTTTCTCTAAAATTTCCGAGTTTTCACATCACAAAATTGCTAAAACAGTAAATTTACAAAATATATAAAATGGTAAATTTAATTGCAAAACATTAATATTCGATACAATCTCAAAACACTACATTATTACAAATATAATTAATAACTTTTATATTATTACAAATATAATATACTCAAAAACTTATATTAAAGAAAACAAATAATCATATGACATTTCTGTCTCAATTTATAAAAATAAATTTAAATGATGATATGAGAAACTAAAAGAATATCACCATCCCTTGGATCAAGAATCATGCTCACTCCTTCTTTCCATTTTCCTTTAAGTAATTTCGCACCACTCCCAAAACTCTGTTTCAGAATCCACATATTAATCATTTTCTTTTCTTTTTTTAAATAAATTAATTCATCTAAGTGACAACTTATTACCTGCATACCAAAGTAGTTTACAAATCCATGTTTTCCTAAAGCATCTGTTGCTGCTTTTACAGTATCTTCAGAATCTGCAACCACTCCCTAAAAAGATGCAAAAGACATATATGCCCCTCATCATCCTCATCATTGAAAATACTCATCTAACAAATGCAGCCTTATCAAACCTCAGTGTGATTGTGAATCGATTTCCATGGAGTTGACCAAGAAGAAGACCTTCATTGACATAACTAAATACAAATTACAAAATCAAACATATTCACATGTTAAAAGATTGTGTTCATTCAAACCATTGCCAGCTTGCTAAATAAAATATTAAAAAAAAAAATTAAGCTGCATATCAAAGCAATATGTATATATATATATATATATATATATATATATATATATATATATACTAATTGATTGTTTGTGTCACCATTGTTTTGCCTCTGGTTCATGCTCATCATCGTGGACATTTTTGTTTGCTTCTCACAGTGATTTGTCATTTCCAAGAAAGACATATTGGGTGCATTGCATACTGACATTCTACCGACTTGTGCAGATTCCATCACCTACACAAGATTTAAATAAATAATTATGATCATATAATCATAATCATAATCGTTCTTATAAACTAGAATAACTAAAAAGTCTTACTGAGTCTAACAATTGATCGACACTCCAGAGGTCCATATCAAAAGCCGTTTCTGAATCTGCTTTAGTGGTATCATCATCAAGTGAAAAGAGTGGAGCAACCTACAGAAATCAACACATCATATGTTAAAAGGTTTAAAAAAAAATAAAAAAGCAAAATTATAAATATTCAAGAGGATTTGATTTACATCATCTTTGAAGCGACCCTTATTTTGAAAGATATCAGCCAACCCATATTCCGTAGGACATACATCATCATCAGACACAAATTTGTGAAGCAACTCTTCCTTAATGGAAGTTATTTCAGTCTGCACATATAAACACATTCTGAGTCAATATATACAATTGCAATGTTTAAGTTAATCCACAAGTAAATAAAATGACAAGTTTACCCCTGCGACAGTTTCCAAGTGACAGGGATTTCTGTGCAGCCTTATTATCCTCTTTAGAACCAAACTTAATCTGAATCTGATCTGATCCATCTTTAATGGTCAACTTGCAATCATCAACCAAACACAAGTACTGATCAACCTGCATGACACCATAAAGTTTTATAGTTTACACAAGGGTAAAAATGATATTTTAGTAGTTTATAGACAAATTCTTAACATATTAGAAAGTGCAGCCTTAGCCAGTGGGACAAGTGGGACAATACCAAAAGCTTTAGAAGAGATGATTATCATGCAGATTGACAATGTATAAAGAGATCTTCTACGCGATGTTGGCAGTGATCCTTCTATACCTCCTTCCAAAAGAGACATATTTAGATTAGCCACTTTGTTTGCACGCTGTTTATAAAGAAAAATAAACAAATAAAAAAAATTCAGTGCACTTACGAAAAGTCGCCAACTTTAATTCCAATTAATCTTTTATTTAGATTAGCCACTTTGTTTGCACGTTGTTTAAATACAATGACCTGAGATTTCAAGTATGCCAAAATGTCAGACTTCATAGATAGAGAGAAAATGTAAAACACTTGCATCTTTGGAGGAAGAGGACGATAAGCATGCTGTAACAACTCAAATGTAAAACACTTGCAATGTATAAGTTAACATTTTTGTGTACATTAATATGGTTGATACAAAAAGAATATTTACCCTTTGAGTTGTTACAGCACGCTTATCTTTTGTACCAGAAAATCCAAATGCCCTAGGCTGTAAAAAGTAAAATTAATAATTAGGTAAAATATTGCATCTTTGGGTCTTAAAAGAAATGTCATTGCATATTTCATATAAAAAGCCACTTTGTTGTATAAATTGGGAAGAATGTGAAACATTATTGCATATAAGCACATTTAATCTCCTACAAATAAAAAATACCAATTCGATTGAATTACTCAAAATGATGTGTAAGCACAATAACCTGAATGCCAAGCATCTTTCCAATCACCCCTAATGCCTCTTGTGTATCCTTGTTTTCCTTACAAAGGTGAAATCTGGAGATGAATATTTAAAAACATTGTCATTAATAAAGAATATAAAGCTTCAAAAGTAAAACATTGTCATTAATGAAAGGAAATAAGATGCTATAATAAACAAATATATGAAAGTATGTTGCTATAATAGATACTACCTGAGGAACTTTCCAAAATGCTCGGGCCAATCTGAACCTCTACTGTCATAAGGAGTCTCATCTCTTCCTTTCCTCTTCTTATCACCTCTGCCTCTTTCATTATTCCCCCTTGAATTCAATCTCACATGTATGCATTTTGATGAGGATTCAGGTCCATCTACTGTGTCTGTAACCAAGAACTTGAGTTTCTCTTTAAAAAAATTATGAACTGCCTAAAGGGAGCAAATTATTAGTAAATTATCCATACACATACTATTGATTAGCTATAGTTGATTAAAAGAAACATTGAGCAAAGAGATTCCTACTGTGAGATGAACTTTATCAGAACTTGGAGAAAGAACAATGGAGGTATTGGTAACTATAACTCCATCTTAATCATTTGAATTTATCTTATCTATAAACTCCTTCAGGGAATTGGCATGAGAGTCACCAACTAGGGCTTTAAACGATTCAATTTCACTACAATGGTTACCATTTGGTTGATTTGTACTCTTTGATTCATGTTCCTCTGCTGTCTGAATCGAAAAAATGTAGATCGTTAAACTCATATGTAAGGATGAATGGAAATGATCGTGAATTAGATGATAAGAGATGGTACCAGACCTCCATTGGTGCATCTAAGGAAGTCAAATGAACAACATTTCCATCCAAATCCACTTCATTGACTATAAAATCAGAGTACCTGTAAACAAAAACATAAAATCAAAAGGCATACTCTTCATTTGAATTAAATGTAAATTCACAATTGTTCCACGTTTATAGAATCATTACGAATGTCTGAAATGAATGGAGAATACCTGTACTCCCAAGTCTGAAAGCCTGATTTGTAGAGGATGAAATGAAGAGGCTCCTAGTAATTGAACACTAACCTAGGTCGCCGGAGTGGGGCTTGTATTCTTTAGAATTTGTAATAGGAGGTGAAAATGAAGCTGGTAGTTAGAATCGTCGGCGTTGAAGCTAATCGTCGGCGGTCTTCCACAACTAACATGAGGATCGAGAGTTAGTAAGAAAATTTGCCAGGAGTTGGAGGTGAGGAAGTCGCCAGGGGTGAATTGTCGATCGATCGATCGATCGATCGAGAGAGAGAGAGAGAGAGAGAGAGAGGATTGAGCATGCATGAATGAAACGAAGGGGGATGCTCTCCTAATGTTGGGCATAGAAATCTATGGGGACGACAAGTTGTCCCTATAGTTATCCATGTCCGAGCTTTATTTCCGTGAAGGGCGCGCTGAATCCACATCCTTTCCCGCTTAACACACTGCGACGAGAAGTCGTTGTTGTAGCCTCAAAAGTCAAAAAAAAATCGTCAACTCTATGGCAACGACATGTCGTCCCTATAGGTAGCCAATAGCGACAACAAATGTCGTCCCTATAGATGCTTATTCTTGTAGTGTATGGCTTACAAACATCTACAGGTTACAAGCCTATCCATGCTCGACTTATAAACATCTATAGGTTGTGTATCTGCCCATGTTTGACGTGACTTGTCTAGAACAGTCTGTGTTCATCATCAATACCCTACTAGGTAACTATATTACTAATTTGGTAGTACTATAAAAGTTCGACCTCTCTTTATTATTTTTATATATCTTTACCCTATACTACCCCATATGTTATAAGGATAAAAATATATATGGTTAAATAAAAATTACTTCATATAGTTTCATTTAACACATAAGGTTTCAATAACGATTATAGGCACACAGGACACTTAATTATCTAAATACTTCATATATATATATATATATATATATATATATATATATATATACTAGTGGGGTACCCACGGGATGCGGTGTCGCTAGCTAGTTCCTCTCGGAATATAGTTCCTTTCGGCTTTTTGGCGAACTGTTTTATGCTAGATAGTTCCAATTTTGCATATAGTTTATGGCGAGGTTCATTGCCCCACAATGCGGTGGGGCGACATTGACATGAGATGGTGATAAAGAGAGAACCATGTCATATAATATAGGGGTAGGTTAAGGTATGAGCCAAATTTAAGTTTTAAAATTACACCAAACTAATAAATAATAATTGTAAAAAGAAAATATAAAAAGACAATAAAGACATTTTTGGTTCACTAACCCAAAATAAAACTACACCATTGGAATGTTCCTAGTTAAAAAAATATATTGAGCAAATATAAATAATATTTTTGGTTCGGCATGACTAACCGAAAATAAAACCACACCATTGGGATGTTCGTAGTTAAAAAAAATATTGAGCAAGTATAAATAATATTGCAACCCATAGGGACCTTTCCTGTAATTTACTTATTTAATTGACAAAAAATATATATGTTTAGAAAATGTTGTATAGAATCTTATTTGTTAATTAATCTTGGAAGGACAATAAACATTTCATTGTGGAATTTATAAATTAAACTGCCACTAACAAACATTGCATTTGAAGAGAAAAACAACGATGTTAGGTAAATCATTTACATAGATAAAGTCAAACCACGACATGTAAAGTTAGGAGAATGAAATGTAACATTTTCAAAATTAATAAATCAAAAGAACTACAAACTCTAAAATAACCATTTTTTTTAATACTTAAGTTTTAGACTAAAATCAATGCTCCTGCTTCATTGCTTATATCAGATGTTCATGCTGCTATGATGCTTTTCGAGTATTTTACTTTTGCTTCTCTTTGTTTTTTCTCTTCTAGATTGTCCCCCGTATAAATTGTGGTTAAATTGTTTTCCTACTCCTTCTAATCGATGTGAAAACATTCAATCCTGAGCAAGCTTTCAAGTTGTGCTGTTTAACATCACTATTGCACAATCAAATATTGATCTGATGCTTTTTTAAACGTAAAAAGTTGTTCATGTGCTAATTCAAATTTGGTTGCTATAGATTTTTGGTGTGACATTTTCAAAGAAGCAAAATATAGTTGGGTTGCTGTTTCACACTGATGTCTAGATCAATTCTTCTAGAATATACAAGTTGGATGTTATTTTGGGGTTTGTCTTTAAAGTTTGTTGCTATAATATCTCTTTTGCACTACTTTTCCTTTCACTTTAGTGACATTATTAATATGTGCTTCATAGCTAATACTTTCAGTTATTATGTTTGTTATATACTCGCTTGTTTGTTTGTCTTTATAAGATTTCCTAGCCATTATAATAAAAATTTACCTTTTAAATCAAAAATTCAAATAAAACTTTAGCCAAATCATACAAAAACCTAAAAATACAATTATTGTTTAGGTATAACATTACAAATTTCCATATATAAAGATCAATGATCTTCAGGACACAACTAAACAGCACAACCCATTAATGAAATATTGTGAAGAACAAAAATATTCATTCCGCTCATCAATAAATAATAGATCAAAAACCTATATATTTTAAATGAAATATTTTGCCCTCGATATCACCTTAGTTGATGTTAATGACCTGCAATATCGTTCGCAAATCACTTGTTGCTGTTGGAATCTTATTTTGAAGAGGAAAATCTTTTCTGCTTTGATAAATTTGATCTCATCTTGTAAGTTTTTTGTTGCTCCATCACACTTATTTTCTATTTTTAATATGAACAAGACTGTTTTCTATCTTGATATCCAAAATCTGACTATCAATGTGCATTTTTATTCAAATTTGACAATAAAGTTGAGTAGGTTCTCACGGCTCCAAAAGATTATAGAAAACATTAACTTTTAATGTGCATTTTTATTCAAATTTGACAATAAAGTTGAGTAGGTTCTCACGACTCCAAAGGATTATAGAAAACACTAACTTTCAATGTGCATTTTTATTCAAATTTGACAATAATGACTATGCAAAAAACATGGGATCAAACAGTAATAAAGTCTATGCAAAAAAAAAATGTGCGACCAAACAGTAATACTTCGCATCAAACTGTGATGAAACTACCATTTATTGTGTCTTCAATAATGTTTGCCTGAGGTTCGAGCCTGCAAAACCTCATATATTTCTATGAGGACAAACCCTTCACTGACAGGATTTGATATTTGTTTAACGAATTAGTGACTTAGTTGCAAAAAATGGAATAGAAACAGACTCCAACACAATTAAAACCTATGTTTATTAAGCTTTTATAACTTGATTAAGCTCAACAGTTAAGAAGCAGCGTGCATGCAATTGGGAGAGGGGTAACATATGGAAATGAAAATAATAACACCTTTCACAGTAAAAAAAGCCAAATTATTTGGGAATTCACCAACCACTGTTTCATTTATAGACAAAGTTTTTACCAAAATCCCTATTAATTAATTAAAAAAATAAACAAATGTACCAACAATTTCTAAGGAGATACACCTTGCTTGAATTAGGAACCATCGACATGGATTTTTTTTGCCTCTACACATCAGTAGATCAAATGGTTTGTACCAAGTAAAAACAAAATGATTAGCATAAAGGCATTCTATAACATAGAAGAAAAATGCTTATAGTGCTCGATAGAAAGTTAAATAAAGACTCACCTTTTCTTCTCACATTTATTGCTTTATTAAACAATAGCACCTACGATGAAACAATAAAAATCAAATAACAACACAATTGAACCAGATTAATCAAAACTTGCAATGAGAGAGAAGGATATATATATATATATATATATATATATATATATATATATATATATATATATATATATAGAGAGAGAGAGAGAGAGAGAGAGAGGGGTCCAGTGGAATGAAAGAAATTTGGCAAAGAAAGAAAGCAAACCAGGTACAGAAAGAGATAATACCTAGCTTCGGTTTTCGAAGGCATCAACGATGGTGGAGATGGTGATCGAAGGGAAGAACCCTAGCTATTATGTTTAAACAGAACCCCTAATTTCTCGATATGGGATAGAGTGTTCATTGATCTTCTTTGTTTCATGCTCTCCTTTGTGGTATTCTTCACCTATAAGAGGTGGCTTACGGTGATAGTAATTGTGAGATATAGACTTTCTTGAGGGCGACTTGCAACAGTGGTATGGTAGTGAGTGACATGAGATTGTGGTGGTGACTGTTGCGGTGATGCGATAGTGATGAATCCATGGTACTGCGAGGGGAGCTTAGATCTATGAGAGAAAAAGAAGAAGAGGAAATGGAGGTGCCAAGAGAGAACGACAATGGTTAGTGGCAGACAGAGGTTGAGAGTGACTTTTAAGAGACCGAGAAACCGAAGAGACTGGTAACGAAGAAGGGCATTGGAATTTGATAAACTCTTCCATGTTGTATATGTTCTTTAGGGAAAACTGCAATAAAGTCATTACATATTGCCTTTATAATCGATTTAATTCGTATATTTTTTTATTGAATTAAGTCTCAAAAACCGGTAATCGTATTCAATTTAGCCCTTTTACCCGGTCAACAGGTAATCCAACTTTCAAAAATTACATTTTTGGCCCAGATTTCAAAATTTATTACAAATTTGGTCCAAAATTTACACTTTTGCCCCAAATTTTAAAATTTATTACAAATTTGATCCTAAATTTACCCTTTTTGCTAAAATTTTAGAATTTTGTTATTAATTCATCATAACTTTAGTTTTTTTTTTTTTTACAAATTTTTTCTCAAAAAAAATTTTCGAATATGTTTTTTTCTTTATAAAATCATTTATACAAAAAAAACATATTTTCACATAAAAAATTTTATATTTTCTATAGGGAAAACTGCAATAAAGCCTTTACGTATTGGCTTCATAATCGATTTAGTACCTATACTTTTTTTTATTTAATCAAGTCCCAAAAACCGGTAATCGTATTCAATTTACCCTTTTTACCGGTCAACAGGTCATCCAACTTTTAAAAATTACATTTTTGGCCCAGATTTCAAAATTTATTACAAATTTGGTAAAAAAATTTACACTTTTGGCCTTGATTTTAAATTTTATTACAAATTTGGTCCAAAATTTACCCTTTTGGCCCATGTTTAAGAATTATATTATGAATTCATCCTAACTTCAGTTTTTTTACAACTTTTTCTCAAAAAAATTCGAATATGTTTTTTCTTTATAAAATCGTATTGTAGTGGTGTTGATTATGATGACATGTGCGGAATTAGAAAAGATCTAGTGAATCATCATGTAAACTCAAGAACACAAGGAGTAAATAAATCTGTGTAAGCTCATATTAGATCTAGAAAAGATATACAAATGAGTTTGTACATAATTTCTCTCTCTAGTCTAACACTCCAAATGGTACCTCACATAATGGGAGTCACTCACTTCCTATTTATAGGAAAGACTCAACCCATTTACACATACAAGAAGGTAAAACCTAAGACTCTACATCCAAACATGACTTTGTACCCTAACATTCTCCCCCTCAAAGTTAGGATTGGATGTCCCGGCTTCAGTCTCCAACGAGCTAGCGTAATCAAGACCAAACTCCCCCTCGAAGTAACACCGGTCTTCAAATCCGCAAATGAATATTCGACAAACCCGAGAAGCTTCGAATACCCATCATTCTCCCCCTTTTTATAATCAAAAAATGATTATAAAACCCATTAAGGGTGAGAAGAGCCCGAGGAATAAACATCTCAATACTCCCCCTTGATGTGTACCAAAAATGAGTCACCAAAAATCTTGCACGGAAAAACAATCACGAAAAAGCCTCAAAAAATTCCTAAATTCGTGAAAATTTTTGACTTTTTGGGTGAAAGTTGCAAGATTTTCCAAAATCCGGGTAAAAACTGTCAATAACAGAATTCTTCAGGGACCCGTTGCGCCAAAAACAGCCAAATATGCGAAATTCTCCACTATTTGCGAAACTGGGTAGAAAATGTTAATTCGCACAAACTGCAGGGACCAGAAATGAACATTCTTCAATTTCTCAGAAAATTAGCCTAATTTCGAAGTTGGGTATTTGCTGCCAACTTTTCGAAACTGCAGGGGCTAAATGAGAAATTCTGCCATTCTTCATAAATTTTTACTCCAATGACGAAGTTGGACCTTTTCTGCCACTTCGTTAAAAGTTGAGGGACCAATTTCGAAAATTTGTGTTTTCTTCTTCACTTCGTTAAACAGGTAACGAAGGGGTTATTTCCATAAAAGACCCTATATTTTGACTTTTTTTTTTCTTTTTAGACCTAAAAAAATTTTCTTTTCCGAAAAAGACCAAACTTTTATGTGTTACTTGTTATTTCAGACACTAGCAGGTCACCAATAGGTAAATTATGTATTTTTGTTTCTTAAAAGACCCTATATTTTGTAGTTGTTTCCATTTTAGACCTAAAATGTTTTTTTTTTCAAAATAAACTCAACTTTAAAATTGGTTATAATCTTCAAGACCAAATATATAAGGTACTTATTGACTACACCGAAAAAGAAAGTATACATGTATACACTAAAAAATGTTATCTAATCTATTATATTTTGAGCGAATATAACCTAAAAGAAATGCAAATTTTTATTTTTGTCTAAAAGATATAATTAAATTTTATCTTGGATATATATTATATCATTAAACTTAATATTTTGTTTATAGAAAATGTTATTATTACCGCTAATAAAAAGTTTGATGTTAATTTGATATTTTTTGGTAACATGGATAATATATGGCTAAAAATAATCTTTTAAAATAATAACAATTTTTTTTATTTGTAGAAAAAAAATACCATATCATTTAACAAACTATATACAAAATAATTTTTTTAGTTTGTCTATTATACTTATTTGGTGAGTTTGGACATATTTCCCTCTCACACTTTTCTATATTATTTTTTTGGCCGAATTTTTTAATTAATTTTTTTAGAACAGTTAACAAACGCACTCACTATCATACTCCTAAACCAAAACCATAGAATATTTTGTAGCATTAGGCCATTATTAAATAATATGTTATAATTATATCAAATAAATACATAAAAAATATTAATCATAAACATTCGTATTAGTTTTGTTTAGATATATGAGATTAAAGTTTAAGACTTCCTTAAAAAATGTTAACATCACATATGAATACATAAAACTATATTTTGGGAATGAAACCATTTGAGCATAGTTAAAAATCCAAATAACAATAATGATACCGCACACTTAAATATCAAAATACAATGGTTGGAATGTGGTGAATAAGCAAAACGGACAAAACTATGAATTTTGCTATTGAGAAAAGAAAATTGAATAGTTGGCCTACCACCTCATTTTATTAATCTATCTTATGTATACATTGTGTTTAGATCAATACATGGTGTTTGTATATCACTGTTATTGATTATTAAGGATAATCATAATAATTACCAAAATAAAATTTAGGATTTTATTTTAATTTGAAAGGATATAATCACGTTTTTATGCATGAACGAAGTTAAGCTTCATTAAATCGATATAGTTAAGTACCATATACAACTAGTTTTAAAGGTTGTAACCAATTTTAAAGTTGAGTTTATTTTGAAATAAAAAAAACATTTTAGGTCTAAACTGGAAAAAAGTACAAAATTTAGGGTTTTTTATGAAATGAAAATACTTAATTTCCCTTTTGGTAACCTGCTAGGGTCTAAAATAACAAGTAATAGGTAAAAGTTGGGTCTTTTTCGGAAAAGAAAAAAGTTTTAGGTCTAAAAAGAAAAAATCAAAATATAGGGTCTTTTATGAAAATAACCCGGTAACGAAGTCTCTTTTTACGCCTTCAAGCTTCGCTTTTTAGTGAGAGGGCTTTGTTAACGGATTCTATGATCCATGATAACGAAGCATCAATCCCTAGCCTTCGTTAATCGACATCAAAACAAAGGTCCTTCCCTTTTCTAGTCGACCATATCGATTTGTCATCAAGCATCGACCATATTCATTCATCCTTCGCTTTTGGGACACCAAAATCGAATTCAGTCGCTAAGCATTAGGGATAAAAGTGGGTCTAAACCCGGACCGGATGGACCCGGACCCGGAAAACCCAGAACCGATTAACGTGATTTTTTAGAACCGGAAACCGGACCGGTATATAGGAATCGGTTCCTGTTCGGTACCGGGTAAAGTGGGTCTAGAACCGGAAAACCCGGAAACATCAAAGTCGGTAGGTTGGAACCGGATAAAGTGGGTTTAGAACCGGAAAAACCGGAATTTTTTGGTAATTACTTACTACTTACTGGAACCGGAAAACCCGGTAATTACTTAGTGGGTTGAACTTTGAAAATTTTCATATTGATATTCCGATTTTGGGGGACTGTAACTCACTGAATATGAAACCAAAATTAACAAAATTATAGTCTAAAATCATGTACAAACTCTAAAATACACTCTGGAAAAAACCGCATGCCAATCCGACGTTAAACGAATGAGATATGCATGTGTTAACATTTTCATAGAATACAAAGTACAAAACCAAATAGGAGAAAAGTTGAAAATTTTCAGTTTTGATATCCTGACTTCGGAGGACTGTAAATCATTGAATATTAAACCAAAAATGACAAAATCATAGTCTAAAGTCATGTACAAACTGTAAACTACAAGTTTGAAAAAATCACATGTCAATCCGACTTCAAACGAATTAGATATGCATGTTTTACAACTTTCACCGAATACAAAAAAACAGAAAAACTAAAACCTTACAGCTTTGATATCTCGACTTTAAGGGACTGTAAGTCAATGAATATAAAAGTAAAAATGGCAAATTTATATTCTAAAATCATGTACAAACTCTAAACTACATGTTGGAAAACAACCGCATGTCAATGGGAGTTGAAACGAATGAGATATGTATCTTTTAAATGTTTCACAAAAACCGGTTCCGGCCCTAAAAGTCGTTCTGGTTCCTAACACCGGTTCCGGTTTTTAGACCCGGTTTACCCGGACCCGATGGACCCAAACCCGGATTACCCGGAACCCGGATAAAGCCAATTTTTAAACCCGGAACCGGAACCGGTTCTATATATTCCGGTTCTAACGGTTCCGGTTCCGGTCCGGTTTTCCGGTTCTAAATCTCATCCCTACTAAGCATTGACAACCTTCCCAGTACTCGAGTCAAGATCAACAATTGATATTCCAATATCAATTCTTCGCCAACCAGCCATCAACATATCAGACTTCGAAAACGTTGACTTCCAAAATCAATTCCATC